GATCTGATGGCTGAATGTCAGATCTGAGGGCTGAATATCTGATGTGATGGCTGATTATCAGATCTGATAGCTGATTATCTGATCTGATGGCTGACTGTCAGATTTGATGGCTAATTTCTGATGCAAGATGCACGTTAAATCGAGAAATTATTCATGTTGCTCTAAAATGTGCCAAAACTAAGCATTTCCAGAACAAGTCTCAGCCATGAATGGATGGATGGATGGATGGTTTGGCTTCAAACGTGGTACATAAATATATTCAATCAATTTAGTGAAAAGATCAACATATATTAATTTCCATAACGCATGTACAAACAGTGACAATTTCACAAGACCAAGAATGTGAATACAAATACAATGTATTTAATTTCAGTGTTAATATTTGCATACCATATTCTTTAACTATTTTAATTTTAGCGGGAGTCATATTTTTACAAGTCAGTGAAAATGATGAACAATCACGAATGTTCTAAAGACAGTGTCACATCAACTTTGAAATTTCGTACAAGTACAAATTAATCAAATCGCAATATTTCCAGCAGCGAACATCTATGTTGAAAATTGAATGCTTATTTCTGTTTCCCCAATTTTAAAGGTCACCTACCGATCTACGAACCTGCCACTGAGTCACTTTGCCTTCTCTGGAACTTTGACTCGATGCTGGACGTCATTCACAAATACAAATGCGTGATGGCGTACATCAGCGGCCATGACCACTTCGGTGGTTATGCAGTGGACGAGTATGGTGTGCATCATGTGACAATGGAAGGAGTCATAGAAATACCTCCTGGAAGTAACGCTTTTGCAACTGTGGACATGTATCAGGATAGGATGATGCTGCGGGGATACGGTGTAGTGGCTTCCAGAGAGATGATCTTCCCAAAATAACTATTAACTAGTCTTTTCCTTGCCATATACTTTGCTTTCATCAGAAATATCCTATAATCTATGTGGCATATGTTCCACTTTCTGTACAGCACTACAGTACAAATGCCGAGTTTTTGATAAGTTCTTGAGTAAAGGCAGCTAGACTTAGAAAGTAGGTGGCTGTCTCTCAACCAAACCCTTGAATGCCTAGCTACAATGCTAGTTATATCTCATTGCGTCCATTGATTTAAATGACAAATTTGAAGATTGCTAGTTTACGAGGTATCACAGCATGCAGCATCATATCTGGCCAATGAACATAGAGTAATTTATTTATGCTAATTATATCTTATGGAGTGTGTGACATTTGCATTAATCTGAATGATAATAAAAAATTACTACGATCATTATTGGAGTGGCATATTGCAAATGGAGTGTTGCAAAAATAAATCAAGAAATTGCGGGAAATTGAAGATGAAAACTCGCAGTTTGAGTGAAATACTTTAGTGTATGTTTAATGTTTTGTGCACAGTGAAATCCCGACAACTGCCACCGACAATATGTGATGCTATGCATTGTGAATCATCTTGGATTTTTTTTATGATTTTTTCCAAAATTTCGACCAAGATCTGTAGTCAATACGAAATTATGTTTGGCACAAAGAAAAATAATAAACAAAATCCACCCAAATTTTGACAGGAAAACAATGGTGCTCACAAACTGTTAAAGCGTGGTCGTCGTCGCACATGCGAGACATATGTGTTGATAAACATTGATTTTCCCACAATCCAATGTACTCTTCAAATGGAAATCACAAGTATGAGGTTTGACCTGGGCGTGACTTGCACTGATTACTGCTGGTGACTCCTTTGATACCTTCCAATCACCTAAAATTACCTAATTAAAGCTTGCAAACGTCTCAGTTTGTACTTGTTGATCTGCGCAACCGTCAAAGTCGCCATCTTTGTTTATATGAGACCCATATATCTCGTGCATGCGTGGCGGGACGACTACCGCACTATAAATATATAGGTTAATGCAGAGAATGAGATGGTGGTGGCAGCAGTAGACTGTAGCCCAACTTCTTTGTTACGTTGAAGAACTCATAGACTCATATTAACATAGTCATACCATAGTTTCTTGGTCTTCAACTACATAATTCAGATTATACTTTATAACAAACCCAATTATGTAAATATAGCAAGTATAAATATATTTGACCTTCAGGGTCAAAGTCATGATCAAGACTTACAAGTCATGATCAAAACATTTCAATTTAGTTTTATTGTATATTTTCACAAGGATTGCATTTTTGCAGTGTTAATTAATTAATTTTTTTATCAATATTTTTATCGGGATTAATATTAAGTTATAATTAAGTTGCCTGTCCATTGGACTGGTTGGGGAATAAAAATGCCTGTCCTAATTGATGATATACCTGTCCTTAGCAAAGATTTCACAAGTCTTAAAAACTCTGAAAGCATTATTCCGGACATTAGAAACTTGAGACTACCTTGTTCGGTCAGTTAATACAAATTTGACATCTTTATCAAGCTCTCCACAAAGACAGGAAATTTGTACATTTACCTGTTCCAGCTAAAATCTGGCTGTGTAGGAAAAATGGACAGGCCTTCATTTCAATTCCTGGTAATCAATCCCTCCAAATTTAGCCAGCGTGCCATTTAGAATTGATTGTAAAAATTTAGAAAAGTGGAAATAGTTTACTCAAGTTTGACTTGACGAAATTACTATTGTTTCTAAAACAAAATGCTAATTATTAGTCCCCATTTGGACGAAGTCCGAAAACGGGGACTTATAATTCAGTCCCTGTCAGTCCGGAATCATATTTCAGAATCTTTTGGACCAATTCCGTTCATTCTTTGCATGCGTTTAGTACTTTATGTGGGACATGTGCAGTGGTTTAGCAATTCGATTTAAAATGGCCGACTTGCAGCCATCTTGGACTGTGTCATTTTCAATGACTTGTTATTTTGGTCCCTGAACAAAGGATAATCGGCAAAAATATTGCTGAAAGGGTGGTCACACAAGACAGGTAGTCTTAATACACAGATTATGTTATGCCTTGGGACTGCCTAAAAAGTAGTGACAGGCAGTCTTTATATAAACATAGTCACTAACACAGGTTTGACTGTATATTCAGAATATTATGTACATATTATAATGCTCATTATGTTTATCATACTGGAAAAATCAAATTTTTTTTAATAGTTCTAAATATTTTTTTTTATAAATTATTCTATTGATGATATTTTGACATCAAAATGTGCCTCAGATTTGACTGAATGCTGATGTTAAGAGGTCTTTGTCATGGCAACATTTACAGAGAAATGGAGCAGGTGAATCAGATTATCTAAGATTTAGTTTTCGATGTCACTGTACCTATTTATTTTTCTAATTTATTGTCACTGTAATATGTTGTGGTTTTGACAAATAAATACTATATTGGAGGAAATGCTTTTTAGACTATGTATTTGTTTTTAAAGCAGTCGTCACCTGCGGGAATTGAGTCCCCATCGACGATGCCCAACGCTAAAAATGCAAAGGCTCATGGGTATATACGCTTGTTTGTAAACAATGACATGCTATGGCCACCTGCACAGGTGATGACTTCCCTGCTTTAAGTGAACCAGCAGTTTATAAATTGATAAATTGATAGGATTCAAAATCTGTACACGACACTAATGTTATTCACTCTAGCATATGAATTCCCATTGCTCGAGGCGACTTTGCATTGAACAACATCAATCTCCTTGACGGACAGATTTCTTTTCTGTCACCTCAACAATCCAGTTATGAGATTAAAAGCAGCTGTAATTACTTGTTACACCCTGAGAACTTTGGTTTATTTATAAATGAAACAAACAAATTTTATTATCCAAAAATACATGGTATATCAGTCATCTGGCATATTGGAAAAGATAATAACACTATACAGATCTTTTTATAGGTATCAAATGCAGTAAGACTGAGGTATCTATTTAGAGCTCAATATTGATACAGTGCCAGTCAGAAATGTGCAAATGTCATTTTGTAATTTTTACAAGACTGCTGTTAAATTTTTAATTATATCTTTTCAAAAGAAACAGGAATATTTTAACAGTTTTGTTGTATTGACTATGGACGAAAAATTAAATGTGATGCAAACTGTAAGGTAGGTAGAAATAACTTGTTTATTTTATGAAAATTAATTAATTGATCTCAATTTATTATTCTGCAGTGCTGCTTTACGCATACTGTTATACAAGTGTATTTTCCAATCTTGTGTGTACAGGTTGACATTTGGGTTCAAGAAAAGAACAATTTCAAGTAGAGCTGGAAGGTGTACCTACATGTGCCCAATATCTAGGCAAGGTTCTTTTTGTTATTTAAAATAAATATGAATCAAAATTATCATAAAGCACAAGAGAAAAGTATGAACATTTGACAGGAAAACCAAATTGGCTGTCAATAAATAGAAAAAAAAATTGCATTTAGTAATCAAGTGCAAAAATCGAAAACTGGATAACTGAGATTGCCATGGAAACAGATTTCCTTTTAAAGCATATCAAACTTGATTGGGTGGCCATTTTAGATTCATAAAATACCAAAATCATAAAAATATTATTAGGAACACAATATTTCCTCAGTCATGAAAAATACAATTTTTAAATAATTTCTGTGTGAATCATATTAAAGCATTCATCTTTGAAGACATATATATTTGCTGTCATCTTTTTGTATTCAGCTGTCATCATTATCGTTATCGGCATCATCAAACTGTCCAAACATGGGCTGTTCTGGGTAATAATAATCAGGAATGCACGGGGTATGCTCTGCAGACGGGATAAACGTGAAGTCGACTGGGCTCTTCCCTCTTGACTGTTTCACTACGGGATGTCTGAATACATTTCCTGCAGTGTTGTACGCTGAAATGCAAATACACACTTTGTTTATGATATCGAACTCCAGTATGAATAAATGATATTATTAACAGCGCCTTCAGTAGGGGAGATAAATACACTCACCATATGGATCAATGAGATCCAGTTCTTCTTCCCAGTTTTCTTCACAAACAATGTTATCATCAACACATTTATCACTTTCAGGAGAGGCAGTCGTCTGTGGTCCATCAAATGGAAGATTCTCCAATAAGCCAGAATCTGAAATATTATTGATAGTACCGTAAAATCTGTATTAGTAGTCGCATCCTTAATAGAAGTTGCACCAATTCTTTTTAAACATTTGAGAACCAAAAATTCATCGTTACTCGTATGTGAAGGCTCTCTAATAGAAGCCGCATCACATCTGTTGCATTGTACCATTTTAATAGAAGCACGGCTTCTAATACAGATTTTGCAGTAGTGACTATAAAATTTGGAAAATTTGTTCACTCTTAAAATGTCTTGATTTTGTTAGTTATTTGGAGATCATAAAATTGTGTTGAGAGATCTAGGGAAACATTTAGAAGCAAGTTTGAAAACAGACAGCAATATATATTTAGTATTTCATTTTATAACTCTCCTGTTCTGGTGGTATGTGTATATAGACGAATCCAAGAAGCAGATGAATTACCCCTTCGCCGTAGGCAGCGCGCTCACGGCCGCCATTACCGGGGGGCAGCGTGAATCGATAATCAAGTGGAAATTTTTCATCAGTGTAATGTTGTTTTGATCAAAATTTTATACCATAATTTTAACTAGTGTTATAGTTTCAATGTTTTTATGATCATGGGAGGGTCAGAAAAAAACTGCAAGTTTCTAGGATGCACGAACAGCGATAAAAAACTTTAAAAAGTGG